ACAATGAGAACAAATGGAAAGACGTTACGTTGGAAGGAAGTGAGAAAAATGAAGAATGTTATTTTAATTGGAGGGGGAAAAAAAACGAACAAGAAGGATTCTGCTTTATTTTTTAGTCTTCATGAGGGGGTATTTTTGTCTATTTTTTCCCTCATATTGATCTTCGGTATTTCTTTCTTTCTTTGTATTTTTAAAATTTCTCTAGTGGAATACTTCCCTTACGCTGTGAAAGCAGATTTGCCTCATTTGTCTATTATTTTTATATAACATCCACTTTCTACTCCACACAGCCTTTCATCTTCATACTTTTATCAAAACTGACTACGTTTGCTTTTTTTTGTCCTATCTTTCATTCGATTTGTCTTTCTTTATTTCAAATCTATTCTTTCTTTCTTTCTTTCTTTCTTTCTGTCTTTCAAATGTATTCTTTTCTTCTTTCTTTCATCATTTATTTCAAATGTATTCCTTTCTTACTTCCTTTCTTCCTTCTTTCCTTCTTTCCTTTCCTCCATCTTTCTTTCAAGTCTATTCTTTCTATCTTTTAAATTTTTTCTTTCTTTTAAATATATTCCTTCTTTCTTTCTTTCTTTCTTTCTTTCTTTCTTTCTTTCAAATCTATTCTTTCTATCTTTTAAATTTATTCTTCCTTTCTTTTAACTATATTCCTTCTTTCTTTCTTTCTTTCTTTCTTTCTTTCAAATCTATTCCTTCTTTCTTTGTTTCTTTCTTTTTGTCTGTATATCTGTCTCTTTCCCTTTACATTGATTTCCGTCACGCTCTTCTTTTTTCTTTCTTTCTTTCTTTCTTTCTTTCTTTCTTTCTTTCTTTCTTTCTTTCTTTCTTTCTTTCTTTCTTTCTTTTCGTCTATATTTCTATCAATTTTCAAATTGATTTTCCCATTTACACTCATTTCTCTCATCCACTTCCTTCCTTCTTTCTTTCTTTCTTTCTTTCTTTCTTTCTTTCTTTATTTCTTTATTTATTTCTTTCTTTCAGATCTCTTCCTTCTTTTTTATTTCTTTCTTTGTTTCTTTCTTTCTTTCAAATGTCTTTTATTTCTCTCTTTTTAGTTACTGTTTATTTTCTTTTTTATTATTGTCTTTATATACATATTTTTTCCTTTTTTGTTATCTTCTTTCTTTCTTTCTTTCTTTCTTTCTTTCTTTCTTTCTTTCTTTTATTACTTCTTCTCCCGATATAGGTTAATTAGTACGACTTGCTTCAGTAAATCATTACTATATTTAAAAAGATTATTAAGATTTATCTCTAAATCATTATTATCGAAAAAAACATTTCTTACTGTCTAAAAATATTTTGTAGCTTTAAATGATCTCAAAAAGGTTAATAAGCCATAAAAACAAATCAATCCAACTTTCTTTCTTTCTTGCTTTCTTTTCAATCTTTCTTTCTTTTCAATCTTTCTTTCTTTCTTTCTTTCAAATCTATTCTTTCTTTCTTTCAAATCTATTCTTTCTTTCTTTAAAATCTTTTCTTTCTTTCTTTCAAATTTATTCTTTCTTTTTTCTTTCTTTTCAATCTTTCTTTCTTTCTTTCAAATCTATTCTTTCTTTCTTTTCAATTATTCTTTCTTTCTTTCTTTCTTTCTTTCTTTCAAATCTATTCTTTCTTTCTTTCAAATCTATTCTTTCTTTCTTTCTTTCTTTCTTTCTTTCAAATCTATTCTTTCTTTCTTTCAAATCTATTCTTTCTTTCTTTCTTTCTTTTCAATTATTCTTTCTTTCTTTCTTTCTTTCTTTCTTTCAAATCTATTCTTTCTTTCTTTCAAATCTATTCTTTCTTTCTTTCAAATCTATTCTTTCTTTCTTTCTTTCTTTTCAATCTTTCTTTCTTTCTTTCTTTCTTTCTTTCTTTCAAATCTATTCTTTCTTTCTTTCAAATCTATTCTTTCTTTCTTTCTTTCTTTCTTTTCAATCTTTCTTTCTTTCTTTCTTTCTTTCAAATCTTTTCTTTCTTTCTTTCAAATCTATTCTTTCCTTCTTTCTTTTTTCTTTCTTTTTTCTTTTTTTTTCTTTCTTTCTTTCTTTTCGTTTTTTAACTATTTTTGCATTTCTTATTGTTTTTTACAATTAAAAAGCAATTCATAAACAAAAGAAAGAATTCATAAGAAAAAAAAACAGACGGTAACCAAAAATATATTTTACCGTAAAATGGTAATACCGATGTATAAGAACGATTAAAAACGGATAAACCAGTAAACCGGTCTTTTAATCTCAGCGATAATCAAGGCCAATAATGTTCACAACTACTAAAAATTTACAGCCCGAGACTAATATGTTATATAGCTAAAAATATATTTAAACAATTAGCAATAACAACAACAACAACAACAACAATAATAATAATAATAATAATAATAATAATAATAATAATAATAATTATTATTATTATTATTAGTAGTATTAGTAGTAGTAGTAGTAGTATTATAATAACATTAAATGCTAATTAGCTTTAGACATAACAATATCTTCATCTGCTTAAAGAGAGATCGCTGGTAGGACTTAATATATGCTGACTAAAAAAAAGTGATAATCGATAGGAGCAATACTTTGCACTGAGAGGCTATCAGACCGACTAAAATGCTGTTTTTAATGAAAGGTTCAGCTATCGCTGAACTTGATGCATTGACGCATCTATGTAAACTATCTACCTTCTAATTGCAAATATTAACCGGCACGTGTTAGTTAATTTGTGATGACAACATTTGACCTGTTCTGTCGACATAGTCAGCATAGATAGGGAGAACATTCTTCGGGTTTTAATTTACGGTAATATATATATATATATATATATATATATATATATATATATATATATATATATACTAATAGTAATACTCATTTGGAAAGAACCTTGGATAGGTCAACTTGTAGATATGTCAAAACAAATCGGTACCAGGGGAAAAAATGGAAATAACTAAAAAGAAAGAACTAAAAACATTCGAACAGGACGAAATAAATCGTCCAGTGTCTTTAGTCCGAAGAAAAAAAGCCGCCCCAAGCGAGTAGAAAGACGAAAACGTAGAGTGTTCAATACGCTAAGTAGAGAGGAAATAACTAAAATAAATCCTAAAGAGCCAGGAACAACCTACCTTGCAGCTTACCCTGAAGATCCATTTAGATGAAACCTAGGTAGGTTTTCCTGGCTCTTTAATTATTTATTTTATTATATATATATATATATATATATATATATATATATATATATATATATATATATATATATATATATATATATATATATATAATTAACCCGGATATATGAGGCCCGGATATTAGAGAGATTTTCTCTGGTCCCAAATTAGAGCCTGTGTTAATGCATATAAAATAGATCAAACCCGGATATAAGAGAAACCCGGATATAAGAGACTTCTTCTCCGATCCCGACAACTCTCTTATATCCGGGTTACCCATATATATATATATATATATATATATATATATATATATATATATATATATATTACATACAATAAAAATCCAAAGTTACCGCATTGCAATATCTATTTCGACCCACAAGACTTCCTTGTAGGCCTTGTCAACTTATATATATATATATATATATATATATATATTAGTAGTAGTAGTAATAATCTTATAATTATACGAAATTATACTCGTCCGGAAAAGCTTCGGTGTCTTTATTTGAAAATAATCAAACCAATACCAATGGTTAAAAAAACGGTAAAAAAAAGAAAGAACAAAAAACATGTACGTCAGCCGAAAATAATCGTCTAGCATCCAAGTCCAAAGTCCAAAGAAAAAAAAAAACGATACGAATAAGCAAAATAACTGAATAATGTGTTCAATACGTTAAGTAGAGCAGACCTAATTAAACCTAAAGAGCCAGACAAACCTACCAAGATTTCACCTAAGCGGATCGTCAGGGAAATATATATATATATATATATATATTCTCAAGAGGATAGAATACTGATAGAATTCAATGTGATGAATTGGATCGTGATTATGATTCCAATGTAATAAATTATAACCATGGAATATTAGTGTTTGAGCCTTTTGTACTGTATTATTCCTCTGTCCTGGACATTGAGTTCTACCTGGATTTTATCCTCTTGGAAATTTATATATATATATATATATATATATATATATATATATATATATATATATATATATATATATTATATATTTGGATAGATGTGAGTTTGTGACCCTGGGCTTCACGCTTTAGCGATCGTCAGACAAACTGATTAATGTTTTAAAAAATTTCAGGATACCGAACGTTTTCCGGACGAGTATAATTTCTTATACTTATAAGATTATTACTAGTATATATATATATATATAACGGAAAATGTTCGGTATCTTGAATTGCAAATAATCAAATAAATACCAAAGGGGAAAAATGTTAAAAAAAAGAAAGAACCAAGAACATGTATGTTATCCGAAAATAATCGTCTAGCATGCAAGTCCAAAGCCCAATGCCCAAAGAAAAAAAAAACCGATACGAGTAAGCAAAATAACTAAATAAATTGCTCAATACAATGAGTAGAGCAGATCTAGTTAAACCTAAAGAGCCAGACAAACCTACCAAGGTTGCACCTAAGCGGATCGTCAGGAAGGCATATATATATATATATATATATATATATATATATATATATATTAAAAATGGACAAGGTCCGACAATTTATTTATTAAAGACATTTTTATGTTTAACGTTGTTATTTTATAGATACAAGTATTTAACAGCATTTAAGAGCATTTGCTTAAATACTTGTATCTATAAAATAACAACGTTAAATATAAAATGTCTTTTATATATATATATATATATATATATATATATATATGTGTGAAAAGTGTATATAAATATAAATAAATATATATATGTATAATTATTTATATATTATATGCGCGGTAGTTATTAGGAAGCGCTCAATATCAGAGATAGAGCTAACATATATGAGTTGGATAGATGTGAGTTTGTGACCCTGGGTTTCACGCTTTTGCGATCGTCAGACGATCGCAGAAGCGTGAAACCCAGGGTCACAAACTCACATCTATCCAACTAAATATATATATATATATATATATATATATATGTGTATTTCCTTTATATGTGCAGTACTTATTGGAAAGTGCTCAATATCAGTGATAGTGCTAACATATTCAGTTGTATGGTTATGAGTTTGTGACCCTTGGTTTCACGTTTTTGCGATCAAGAAACAGTACAATAGGAGTGTACGTGCACGTCTACACGTATGTCTGGCGACGAGGCCGGCCGATCTGAAAAGAGTGAAGAACACCCGAACGGGCCCCTTGTTGAAAGAACATCGCTATATACAAGAGCGAAATAGAATTAGAATTGCGTAGGTATGGATGCTTGAAAGCATGAATGTGTATCTGAGCCTAATCTCGCATTGTTTATATGGGTAGGTTTGTGTGAACTAAAATGAGTACACCTGTATGCATGTGTGACTCTGTGTGTGTAGAGTGTCATTTCAAACGGACTTTGAAATTTCCCCCCACCCACTACCAAACATAATCAAACACAAACAAGCATAAATACACAAATTTTATCTCTTATCCATACAACTCAATATATATATATATATATATATATATATATATATATATATATATATATATATATATATATATATATATATATATGGTGATTCTCCTGTCGTATTTGACCTATGAGTGTCAAGGAGCTAAGTTCCTAGGAACCGACTGCCCAGACACCAGCACATGATTTGATTATAGTGGTGAAGGGTTTGTGCCGAACAAACCACACTTTTTCAAGGGCCCAATACAGAGACCTGGTGCCCTACGAACCACGAGGTCTCCAAACGACCCTCCTCAGGTTTTGAATTCAGAGTTGTTCTTCTCCTAGACGAGTTGCCATCCAAGGCTATAGAACCCAGTACTATAGTACTGGTGTTGCTACATGCCTTACTTCTTGCCTATCTCACACTGAGAATTTTTTTCTAAGCTCTACACGAAACATTAAATCTGTTACGAAAAAAGAACTAAACAAAATGAGCACAAAACGATCAGCTTTAAAAAAGGACTCGTAACTGGAAAAACCGAATGAAAAAAGAATGTTAACAACAAATACTTTTTCACACCCAACCCAGTTCTGCGGAATCAGAATCAACGTTGAGTTTAAGCAAACGAATGAGCCAATTGGAGTAAAGTGCCATGCAGATTTAAATTTTTCCCACTTGTGACGAATGTAGCTATCGATGTTTTGGCATGCTAGCATGCTAGTTAACATTCGTGTCAGTCAGCTGTTGGCTCTCACGCTAGCCAATAGAATCTTCCTGCCTATTCGTGGCAACCAGCTATAGTCTCTCACTCTGGCCAGTAGAAAATGGCCGCAAACTACATGAAAACTGCCGTAGAAGCATGAAAAAATCGATTATTTCCACTATCGATGGGAGTTAGGAAATGCAACATCGGTGTTGGCCTTCCCGCTAACTTGGAGCATGTGCATGTAAATTTTGGTGCAAATCCGTCGAAAATTGCGGCCGTGCATTCGTTACACACACACACATTTTGCCTTATATATATATATATATATATATATATTAATCCATTTATTTGTTATGAATTGTCTTTTTTATGCTATGAATTGCTTTTAATATGATTGCTTTCTGCATTTAGACTCTGTCTTAATATATTTTTAGATTGTAAGAATTTTTTTTTTGAGATACATATGATTTAATGACTTAATAATTAACCCATAGCTGGGGGGAAGAGATTCATATGTTCCCTAACGGTATCTGCACGTAAGTGCATATAACGAACCCTACTGGAAGTGAAACTCGGCCCAACTTTTATAAATTCATTACACCGGCGGTACAACAGTTGGGATTACCAAGTAATCACTCATTTAGGTACTGACCAGGCTAAATTTTGCTTAACTTCGGTAATCGTACGGGAAACGATGTTCGAACGTGATGCAGCTGCAAGCTATAACGACTTTTAATTTATTTGATTAATTGTCTTATTTAATATCGAAATTCACTGAAAATCAGAATGTTATTGAATAAGGATATTATATGTAAAATGTAAATTCATTATTAATATTTGACTGTAGAAACGCACTGAAAATCAGGATGAAATGGATTGTCAGTGGTCAGGAATTAATACAAGCATTACTGATAGTATAAGGATACTGTATGTATAATGTAAATTCAATATTAATGTTTTACTGTAGAAACGCACTGAAAATCAGGAAGGGATTGTCAGTGGTCAGGAATTAATACAAGCATTACAGATGGTATAGGGATATTATATGTATAATGTAAATTCAATATTAATGTTTTACTGTAGAAACGCACGGAAAATCAGAAAGAAAGGGATTATGAGTGGTCTAGGATGATGCCATTGTCTGGGACTCAGGGTTGGATATTGGGGATCTGGGGTCGGCAATGAGGAGAAGGATTGTTAATGGATTTCCAAACATCCATAAGGATGCCGAAAAATGATGCTGATTTCAATCCAATTCCAAACCGGAGAATGAGTGATAGGGTAACAACTAACACTCGCTGCTTCCGGTAGACATCATTCGACAAACCAGGGTGGCAGTTTTTTCTCAGGGAGAGAACTCTTTCCTTTTAAACCTCCTCTGTCATGCGGTCATATCCAAACACGGATAAGACTATGGAAGTAGATGCAGACAAGATGTCCAGAGTAGATCCCAGAGTGTGGTTGTCTGTCAACATTACCTTCCGCTAACTCCGGCAGCCAAATCGTTCTCTTGCTCTTTATTCCGATGGATCTTGCCGGTACGGCGACATGTGGGCTGATTTAGACTGTGGAGCGTATGGTCTCTAAAGAGGTTCTGGCGATTTTCCAAGCGTAGCTTAGATGCGACACAAGGGCTGAAAGTAGGGGCACGCAGTGAGGATCAAACTCACTTACTCAGTCGTAATTATTCGAGCTATACAAGCTTGCTAACTATTGATGCCTCTCTATAGAAGATATATGGAGACCATGCATCCAGGCCTTGGCTTTGGAGAGGTCATTCCAGTCTTACCTCCAAAGGACTGAATTTTGACCAAACGGGAAGCTAACCTTATGTTGTTCAGAGAAACGTATGCCTACTTTTACAAAATTAGCTTTTGCCGAACAGTCTTTGAATATTGCTATCATATCTGATCTGGTACCTGCTATATATTTAGGAATTGTAACCTTATCTTGTCAGACAAAAGGATATCTATTATTACGAAATTAGCTTTTGTCCGAACAGTCTGAATTGGTTTTATGTGATTAGAGTTTTGACAGCCTATGCATTAATCAGGAAAGAAAATTGGGATTGAAGCCGCTATACGACAAAAATTTATTAACACCCGATCTGGTGCATATGATCTGGTACACCTATTTAGAGATTCTTGATGAAATCCAAAGAAGAATCTATCTAACATATTTATAAGTCTACCATTCATCCTGGCTTTGAATATTGCTGGCACATCTGGTCTGGTGCTTCTGCTATGTATTTAGAGATTCTTGATAAAATCCAAAGAAGAATCTATCTTACATATGTATAAGTCTACCATTCATCTTTGCTTTGAATATTGCTGTCACATCTGGTCTGGTGCTTCTGCTATATATTTAGAGATTGTTGATAAAATCCTAAGAATAATCTATCTTACATATTTATAAGTCTACCATTCATCCTTGCTTTGAATATTGCTGCCGCATCTGGTCTTGTGTTTCTGCTATATATTTAGGAATTCTAACCATATCATGTCAGACAAACGAATCCCTATTATTACGCATTTAACCTTTGTCCGAATAATCTGAATTGGTTTTATATGATTAGAGTTTTGAGTGCCTATGCGTTAATCTAGAAAGAAAAGTGGCACTGTAACCGGTATACAACAAAACTTTATTGTCTCTCGAAGAAAGTTCTAAATATGCGCTTAAAAACAAAACCAAACAAGAAACGTCTTTCTTTTCTTCGCTTAATTGGTTAGCAACAACCGGTGTTAGAAAAGAAATACCTTCTTAATTGAGCAAATATACGAAATGGTGAAGCCAAAAAAAAGGATTGCAAAGAAAACAAACAACGAAAATAGAAGAAAAATTAAAGACAATTAAACAATTATCTCTTTGATTGAAGAATTTGCTAATTCTTCCTTTATTTTTCGCTTGTGTATTTTGAGTAAATTGTATTCTCTTCCCGAGAAACGAGTCGTTTGTTTTGAAAGTTTCGAAACCTTTATTCTCTCTCTGTCTCTCTGTCTCTGTCTCTCTCTCTCTCGATGTTTATATATATATATATATATATATATATATATATATAATAGTTTGACCATATATATTTTATTCTGTTATCTATCTATCTATCTATCTATCTATCTATCTATTTATCTATCTATCTATCAGAGTCTGCCGATATATATCTTATTGCGTTATCTCTCTCTCTGTTTATCTATCTATCATTGTCTCATCATATATATGATTCCGTTATCTATCTACCTCTCTATCTATCTATTTATCTATCTATCTATCTATCTAGCTCTCTCTCTATATATATATATATATATATATATATATATATATATTATTCCCCCTCTCTCTCGCTATCTATCAATCCATGTATGATCCAACGATATATATATGATTCTGTTATCTATCTATCTATCTATCTATCTATCTATCTATCTATCTATCAATCAGAGTCTGCCGATATATATCTTATTGCGTTATCTCTCTCTCTTTTTATCTATCTATCATTGTCTCATCATATATATGATTCTGCTATCTATCTATCGTCTCACGATATATATCTGATTCCGTTATCTATCTATCTATCTATCTATCTATCTATCTATCTATCTATCTATCTATCAGTTATTCTCAGTCTGTCCATTATCTATCTATCTATCTATCTATCTATCTATCTATATATATATATATATATATATATATATATCTTATTCCCCCTCTCTCTCTATCTATCTTTCTATCTATTCATCTATGGTCCCACGATATATATCTGATTCCGTTGTCTGTCTCTCTGTCTGTCTGTAATATATATGCAATAGTAGTTGGTAATACCCATCTATATGGAAGTTAGGAACGAAGACTCTTCAACACGTGGTAAGGACCTTATATATGGAGAACTTTGTTTTTATTGACCGGAAGTGCATAGCATCTGCGTTCCATATTAGATATTGCATGTATCTAAATACATTTGGAAAATGAAACATAAGCAGGAATTCTAAACCAAAAAATAAGAAGAAATATAATAGGAAAGTATAAGAGTTACACGCTGGAGGAGGGGGTAGAATTTGCCGATTCTGATGTTTCCATATCCATCGGCTCTATTAAGAGAGCTGATATTATGGCAAGATGTTTACATGAAAAAAATATTTAATATCTAATATGGAACCCAGATTATATTCACATCCGGGTAAAAATATTTATGTTCCGTATCACGAGTTAAGTAAGGCTAACAATGAACCTGGCTTGACGATCTTTCAACTTGATGGCGAAACTAGAGCAACGTAGGTTTTATTCCTTATTCGTTATTCTTTTTACATTTTCTCAGTGTCGTGCTAGACAATTTTGCCGCCTGAATCTATCTTACATATTTATATGTCTACCATTTGTCCCTGGCTTTAATATTATTGACAAATGCATTCCAGTTAATCGTTATCTACTGTCTTCCTGATTACTTTTCTATTGTTCTCGCTCACTTCTCACTTGTGGAACATTCTTCCAACTCCATGCTTTCCAGCCAGCTTTGATCTTCAAAAATTTAAATGCAATGTCAATCGTTATCTACTGTCTTTCTGATTACTCTTCTATTGTTCTCGGCCTGGAGTATTGTTTCTGATTGTGGAAAAAGTAGAGAACAGAAAAATTACATTTTGGCGATCATTTGCTCATTGCACCCTGTAAATGAGCAAGATAGATTCTGTCGAGAAAAATTGGGAAGTGATATTTTTTTTTATGATATATAATAAAAATTAGCCTTGTGCCACATCTAAAGAAAATCATTGTTTCGGCAGGTCTTCTTATATATGCTAAGGATAGGACTATTTACCACTGTCTGTATAGTCTGATCAGTTCGATGAGTTCAAACTGGCAACTTATCTAATCTCAAGAATTTCCTACAATCTGTTGTTAACTGGGGCAAGGAAGTGCTTGTTAATTTTAACGCCTCGAAAACGAAACGTTCTTTCTATCAATCACCTAAAAAACCCTTTCCGCTTTCCATCAGAATGGCTGATTGTAACGTCCATGAGAGTATATGGCTGTATCTTTTCGGGCTAACATTGTCAGCTGAAATTAAGTGGGAAGACTATATTGAATCTATTGAGAGATCAGCTGCTAAGGATATTGGTTGGTGATGTCGTGCTATACAATATTTCTAGCTTGAATCAATCTTACATATTTATAAGTTTTTTTGTCTTTAATATCTCGATCTCTAATTATATTGAACCAATTGCTAAATCCGCAGCAAAGAATATTGGTTCATTTCATTGTGCTACAGTTTTTTTCTCGTCAGATCTATCTATCTTATTTATATGTCTACTATTCGTACATGCTGTTGATATTGCTACAAAATCTTATCTGGTACACCTGCTATATATTTAGAGATTCTTGGTAAAATCCAAAGAAGAATCTATCTTACATATTTATAAGTCTACCATTCATCCATGCTTTGAATATTGCTGCCTCATCCGGTCTGGTGCTTCTGCTATATTTTTAGAGATTCTTGATAAAATCCAAAGAAGAATCTATCTTACATATTTATAAGTCTACCATTCATCCTTGCTTTGAATATTGCTGCCACATCTGGTCTGGTGCTTCTGCTATATATTTAGAGATTCTTGATAAAATCCAAAGAAGAATCTATCTTACATATTTATAAGTCTACCATTCATCGTTGCTTTGAATATTGCTGCCACATCTGGTCTGGTGCTTCTGCTATATATTTAGAGATTCTTGATAAAATCCAAAGAAGAATCTATCTTACATATTTATAAGTCTACCATTCATCCTTGCTTTGAATATTGCTGCCACATCTGGTCTGGTGCTTCTGCTATATATTTAGAGATTCTTGATAAAATGAAAAGAAGAATCTATCTTACATATTTATAAGTCTACCATTCATCTTTGCCTTGAATGTTGCTGCTACATCTGGTCTGGTGCTTCTGTTATATATTTAGAGATTCTTGATAAAATCCAAAGAAGAATGTATCTTACATATTTATAAGTCTACCATTCATCCTTGCTTTGAATATTGCTGCCACATCTGGTCTGGTGCTACTGCTATATATTTAGAGATTCTTGATAAAATCTAAAGAAGAATCTATCTTACATATTTATAAGTCTACCATTCATCTTTCCTTTGAATATTCTGCCACATCTGGTCTGGTGCTTCTGCTATATATTTAGAGATTCTTGATTAAATCCAAAGAAGGATCTGCTATATCTTTGGTCCTGATTTGGCATCTCAGCTACATTCACTTTCCTACCGCCGTAACATAGATACCCTGTGCCTTTTTTTTATAAATACATTAATGGCTCTCTGGTAACATTTTCTTCTATCGCACTTCCGTCTTCCGGCCTCTGACTTCCTAGTCAACTCTTCTCTTGAAAAATTTAAATGAAATATCAATATCGTTATCCACCTTCTTATTATTTATTGCTTTTTTATTTGTTATCTCACCGTAATAGTATTTTTTCTCATATTCTCTAACACTCAGTAAACTCTTGCGTCTTAGTGGCTTTATTGCCGTGCTTAGGATGAAAGGATTAATATGTATATCAGTATATATAAATCAATTTCTGTCTGTCTGATTCAAGTAGCTGCCTGAAACTGTAAACCAGTATTGATGAAAAGTTCCATACTTGTTAAAGTAATATCTAGTTTGGCTAATTTTTTTATATAAAAATCAAATAAAAACTTTATTGAAACAAAAGAAGTTCAGTTGACAATTCCAGACCAACGTAACTATAAACAATTTTTTTCTATCCTCTGCCAGTCACAATGATGGAGAAAGCATTACCTCGAACCATCGCCAGTGAGACACGCTGCAAGCATCACTCCGTTTCACGAGGCTCGTCTCTTAATCGAGACGCAATCGCGCCAATCCTCCGAAAGAACGCCATCGAATGAGGGCCAATAACCCCTGAAGTCTCCACTGCCACAGGAGTAAAAAAAAAAATCTATCAGCAAGAGAAGAATATTTAACTATTTTTTTCATCTCTTCGTCCCGGGCGACGGATCCTGGCTCAACCGCGGACCTGATCAAATTACCGGCCGAAAATGTATCCGCACAAGTCGCATCCCAAATCAACGACTTCCCCATTTTAAAAGGGAAAATAGTAATGCCATCCGGCCGCTTTCCATCACTGCGGTCGAGGCCTACGGGTTCGATTTGGGAAGGGATCCCAGCTGCATCCAAACCTCTTTTGATGATGTCGTTACGGGAAACGATGTCGTTACGGGAGATAATTTGTCTCGCAAAAACTCTAGAAATTAACGACACGATTTACGAAATAATAAAACACTTATAAATCGTAAAATTTCAGACAGATATGTATCTTTGCCCGATTTTTAAAATTTAATGGACAACGTCTAAACTAATTTATTATTTCTAGATAAAAATAAGTAAAATAAAAAATAATATCTTTATTTAACACAATAACCCAGCATAAACTTTGTTGAATACGATCTCCGTGGTATGATTACATTCCAAAAAATTAATTCATTTACATGGCTAAAAAAAAAAAAAATAAGTCGTTTCAAATTTTTCTATGTGCATCATTAAATACACCGCGTTCAAATTTATTAAATACAAAGAAATTGTCTCGAACCATTCGGTCATTTAAACATAAAATAACATTTAAATTAAGCTTATTTCCGAATAGAAATTTTACCTAAGCTCATATTTCAAACTACCCTTAAAAAGGTATATCGTAGTTGTGGGTGTTGTCTGTGGAATAACAATCTGTTTGAAGGACACTTTCATCTATGAAACAAACAAGCTGAGGAAATAGACATCCTTCCTAAAAGATTCAAAACGTCCTTAATCAGCACGAGCCACTTACCCTTGAAATATACATATAAAGGTTTGGACAAAATAATTGGAACACTTGTTAAATTAATATGGAGTTGGTCCTCCTTTACCCTCCCATACAGCTTTAATACATCAAGCAATGGAATCATACAGCTTCCTGACTTCATCCAGAGGAATTTTCAGTCATTCTTCCATTAAAAACCTTCTCCAGCTCTTTACGACACGACTGTGGAGGATAGCGGCTCCTAACTTGTTGCTCCAAAATGTACAACAAATATTCAATAATATTGGTATCTTGAGATTGGAGAGGCCACTCCACGTGTTCTAGCTCACTTTCATGCTCTTCATACCAATTCTTAACCACTCGAGCGGTATGTATTGGAGCATTATCATCTTGGAAGATGCAATCACCCTCAGGGAATAAAGTCTTGGCCATTGGATGAACATGATCTCCCAAAATGTTCAGGTAATCTTTGCTGTTGATTCTAGCATGCAGGGCAACTATTGGACTGAGACATTTCCATGATATGGCTGCCCAAACTATCACTGATCCACTTCCATGCTTCAATGTTGGAAGAAGGCAGTCAGGGTTGTAATCTTCTTTGGGCTGCCTCCACACATAAACTCGCCCTGAAGTTGGGAAAAGAGAAAAACTGGACTTGTTTGAGAATATAACTTGCTTCCATTGGTCTGCAGACCAGGCATTGTGATCTCTGCACCACTTCAACCTCTTTTGAATGTTGCGAGTAGAGAGAAGAGGTTTCCTCACAGCGGCTCTTCCATGCAGCCTTATGGAGCTCACGGTGAACAGTTTTAGTAGAAACTGAACTATTCAGATGGTTATTCAACTCAGCAGTCACTTTGGCCGCATTCGTTCGATGATTTTTTTTTTCCAAATTGCGTTTCAATGCACGTCAGTCCCTGTCAGTAACTTTGCAAGTCCGGCCCGAATTGCTACGGTTGCT